CACTACACATGGGTGAACAGAGGCACTGTGAGAGTATAGTCCCTGGCCAGGACTGGAACCCGGACCCCTCGATACGTAGTCGCGCCCACTAATCAAGAGGAACGTTGTGCCGGTTTTCGCTTTTGTATTCTTCACTAATCAAGAGGCCACCGCGTACAATACCCTGACCATTGCGACGAGCCGGAGACAGAAATCGCAGAGGCAGACTCGGCGTTAACAGAACAGAGTGGGCTCCGCGAGGGTCCATTATCCTTAGGAGTGGCGCAGAAGCGATGTTAGTGGTTCAGTGACACGCAGGAAACTGTTGATTCGAATGTGGCGTTTTCTTTGTCTCTAGACAAGCCTTCAGCTGCTCCTTCGTTCAAGAAGATACGTAGCCGAGCAAAGAAATCAACCTGTATGGTCCACAGCGTATTAGACGAAAAGCGCGACTCCGATTATTCTTCGAGACATTCGGGATCTTTCACTGCAGCGTGCAGAGTTCGTTCAACCGTGGTTTCATTTTGCCTTCCTCCTGGATGTATTCCTTCAGAAGTGATCGCGCAAGTGCCTGCAAAGGTAACGCATTCAACCCCGGAAGAGAGGAGCTTCGTACCTTTGGACAAAGGATTGGAAGTTGATCCGTGGATTAACAACATCTCTGCTGAAGCGTACACACTGGCGAAATCAGCTCAAGCTGGAATGATCTCTGCCCCTTGTTTGTCGGCCTTAACTGTCGTTCATGATCTAAAGGAAGATACTTTCCTAGAAAGCAACCTCCTTGCAAATGCTGTGCTAAAAATGTTTCTGGAGAATCAAAATGTAGTTTATCGCCGAAATGCGATCTGCGAGGAGCTGGAGATGATCACGGGTTTTGTTAAAATCAACGGGGCTAAATTCAGCCTCTGGCACCTACGAGCAGAACTCCAGAACATTAAAAATTGCAGGTAAACTGTTCGCGCACGCGCCAAAGAGGCTGTCCTTTTTTCAGGAAGTCTATATTCCTTCTTATAAAACGTAAATTGTCGAGATGTTCTTTTTTCTTTTATTTTCTAGAATTTTCTTATTTTGGTTCAAAAAAAATGGGAATCAAACCATTTTTGTAATGAGACAACTGCTGTTTTTATATCTCTCCATTCTTGATTGGACAACAATATTCGTAGACAGAGGTCGAGCCTAGAATTTTAAAAGTTGGAACTACTTTCTTTGACGGTTTATGTAATCAGAAGTGATGTCTCCAACTCACATGCCGGCTCATTTTACCCAGAGAAGTAGCATATTTGTTGTTAGGGAAGGTCTTAACTAAAAGCTAAAAGGTCTACATCTAGACTACTGTTTTTCAATTAAGCACTGCAAGTCTAATTTCTCCTTTGCTATTATTATTGCTATTATTATTTATTTCTTGTACTACCTTGTGGTAGGTGTGGCTGCATCGCAGGTTGTATCTCTCATTGTTAGTGCACATTCTAACACCAAACAGTTTGACCTAATGTTATTATTATTTATTTATTTATTTACATTTTTTTGGGGAGGCATTCTTGACTTACAACAAGTCCTATCCATACACCCACCTCACCCTGATTTAACCCACTGTTTCAGTGGAGATTTGAGAAACCTTTTATTAGGCGCAAGTTTATCGAGCGGCTTTTTCAACTCCTGCAATATTAAAGGCAACGTCCAAGTTTTCTTGGCTCACAGGGATGCTCTGATGACAAAAACTAACTTAACTTTTCCAGCATTTTGTATAAATTTGTGGATTTTACAGTTCAATTCTGTTTTTGCTTTAAGTTTTCTATTGCACTACAAGCGACGCTTGATTTAAGTTTGACAGTAGCGTGGTTTCTCTGAACCAATTAGAATTCTTTGCTGCGTAAAGTAACCAATGAGATTGCTTCATTTTATATAGACAATAAATTACGTCAAATTGCTATTTTATTGTTTGTCAAAGTGGGGAAATAAAATACATTGAAAGTCTTTTCTGTATAGTTTGTTTCTTTATTATATAAAACATGTAGTTTTAATGTTTCCGATCGTCTGTTCAGTAATGGATCTCAGAAGACGTCGAGATGTGGTAAGAACATCACCGACACATGTACTCAGCTACTGTCTTGTGTGCCCCTTTTTTGTTTTTGCCACATATTCGCTCAATTTTCGTCCACTGTTTAGTGGCAATAACCAGTTAAACTTAATACAATGGATTGATTGATGGAAATAATTTGAAAACTGGCATGTACTGATTGGCCTATGAAAAAAAAAAACCACTTGAAAATGAGGTATTTAATTGGTTTTATTTGCAGAATCTGACATTAGACAGACATGAAACTGAGTTGTAAGACTGTGTGTTGGCCAAATGCTTAAGTGGCAGTCCGCCTAAGAGGTCTAAGTGCGGTCCGGTCGAACTTCGGGTCAGAAGAAGTTTACCTTTTTATTTTGTGGAACGAAAGGACTTGGTGAGTATATAATAAAACCCGGTTGTTTTGTTAAATTACTCGCTTTTCGTTTTGCCACACGCCAAAATGACTTCTGCCATCCGAGGAGAGATTTAAGGCCGATTCAGGAGTCGAAATTTGCGGATTTTTCGGGTCGCGCCGCCTCAACACAAGTGCGTATTCTTCCATATTGACAATACCACAGCATTCAGGTACATTTGAACTGCTTTGCACCAATATTTCGTAAAAGTTGGATAAAAATTACACAAAGCAGGAAAATCAAAGACACCTTACCGCGTCGCTAGTCGGTGATGAAATATAAGAATTAAAATCTCAAAAGCAGTACCTATTTGCCTACATACAAGTTCTCTTAGAGCGGTTTTCAATTTCGAGTTGGAAAACCAAAACCATAGTAATCACTCTAGTCAATCACAAAGGTCACAGACAATCTAATGAACCAATCAAAAGTCGGACTAAATACACGTACCTGACGCGAAGTGCGGTAAAACGTGTGCGAGCGAGTCACAATTGGTTTTGCTCTTCCTTCTGATTGGACGAAAAAGTGGCGCAGTTTTGTAAGCCAATCGTGTAGCGTAGTAATGCAAAACCAATTACTTTTCGACACTCAAGTGAAAACTACTCTAGCGTGCTTTTATTCAGAATAACGTTTACCCATACATTCATGTGTCGGCACAGAAAACGTTTCCAACGTGCCATGTAAAACAGCACGCAAACTAAATCCTGACTTAATATGACTGGTTGACTCACGGATGGTATTTTAAGTAACCTTGTGCTCATGTAGCACAGTCGAATCAGTTTGTCGTGGACGAAATTCTGTAGATATGAAACGATATGCTACGTATAGTGCTATAATAAGACGGCTACAAGTGTTGCGTCACTTCTTTGGCTCTCGGCAGCAAAGCTTACATTTGAGTGGTACTGTATATACCCTGGTTAATACTGTTTCAGTTTTTCCTTTTTCAGGCAACTGAAATGACGATTGTCTTCATGAACGAAATGACGGCCTTCACTTAGTAACAATAAAATGGTTAGCTGACAACATAAACGCGGAAGTAATTGGGTAAACAAAAGCATAGAATTTAACCATGTACCGGCCTGTTATTGTGGATCCCTGGCGCGGTTTTAGGAGTCCTTAGTGGAAGCACAGTTATCTATATCAATAAGAACTTTGAGCTAAGCCTCATATCCTTTCACAAGCGAGGACAAAGTCAACTTAGACGACCTTAGACCACTAACGTCATCCGTGCTTCCGAGGGCAACATAAACATCGCTGTAAACGGTAAGTACACCAGGGCCGTAAGAAAAAACTAAAATCTCCGCAAATGTAAAAGTGCTTTTAATGTGCTAAATGATAAAATTAATTGTAGTTTTATAAAAATACTTTTTAATATAATAGCTGTTTTGAAAAATATGTGTAGGTAGTTTAGGCTGTTTCAGGCTCTCTGTCATTGGGGACGACGCGAGGCGGGCAGAGGATAAAAGAGCAGTGCCTTGCCTCTTTCTCTCCCAAACCCCTCTCTTTATTCTCAGTAACCTACCGTTTTTTTTTCGTGTCGTCCTCACTGACCGAGAGAGCCTGGAACAGAATAGGGGTAATTCCTTTCTGCTCATCAAGTAAGCATTTAGGATTTGTTGTCATACCTTTTCACTATTTCGTTTTGCTTGGAACTATAATATTCGCACCTGCTTTGATGCGAAGTGAAACTCGACAACTAAATGGTTTACTTCGCTGTAATTTAAGATAAGGTTTCGTGGTTTTTGTTTAATTGTAGCGGTGCTCAGCTTCCTTTTCATGTTGACACTTCTTCTTTATCATTTCGACTTTTCTGTCCATGTTCTTATTCCACGAGACTACCATACTACGGTGATCCACTACAATTGACTTTTTCCTGCGAGTGGATCTGATTGAGCCCGCGATCAGGTAGTCTCGGCCAGGTCGCAACCTTGGGCATTTGCACTTATAGTCTCGTCGTGGTATCCACAAGAATTCATTCCCTAGTCTCAGACGAACTAATGAGCGCTTGTAGCGTGTCATGACGTTGACGGTGACTCGGATCCAGTCCCCTTGAGATGTCCTATCCAAGCCAAGAACTGCCACTTTCATGGCTGAAAGTGTTAAATGAGAAGATGAGTCTTAACCAACCTCGTTCCCAGGGCTTCTCTTATTGTAGTCTCAACAAATTCATGTCTAATTCAAGACCTAAATAGGCCATTTCCGAGTTGCCTTGAGCCTCGGTGTCAAAACGAGTCTTCGGACGAAACCATTCATAAGGAAATGTGTTCCTCCTACACCTTCATTTTCATGCAAATCAAACTCATTTTCATACGAAAGGTTTTCCACGAGGACTCGTTTTGAAAAAGAAGCACAAGGTAACTTGGAAATGGCCTTCATATTTTGTGAAGGAACTGATCGAAACCAGGAGCCCTGTTGACAACCTGTTCTCTACCTGGGCTGTTCCATAATCGGATAAGAACTTACCAAAATCTTTCCGGCAAAACTTCTTCCTAGAAAGACCAACTTTCTTGCACTGGGAACAGGCTGCAATGAAATAATATGAGGTGTCAAGCAATCGCTATGCACGTTCAACAACAGAATCAGACAAAACAAGCTCTGTTATTAACTTATTTATTTTAGAATAAACCTCAACTTACTAAAGCAAACTACTTCCAAATATAATTGTGGTATAAAAATAGCTTACTAGAATCCTTGGGCTGTATTGACATAACTGTGTTTGGTGCTTCTGAAAATAAAACGTAAAAAATAAGATAACCAGTTTGTGAGCTTTATGGCTTTATGTCCTAGCCGGGACGAAGAGGTTGAGTGAATGACTAAGTGAGGGAGCTTTACATTTGGCTTCTCGCACAAGATTTACCAACTCTATGTGATTTCAGATTTCCATAGAGTTGCCTGTGAAGGCGATGTTCGCAAGAAACATGTTCGTGAGAAACATGTCTTCAAACAAGAGTAATGAAGGCTAAAAACACAACTACGTGCTGTGATAGGCTCTTGTTTGTGTTTAGTGAGTCTATAATATTTTGGAAAAAACCGTATCGTAATTTTCAAGTTGACAATTTGTAATCGCCTTTCAGTCTTAACCATTCCTGTTAGTTGTATCCACTGTTACTTAGCATTCCGGCAAGAGTTTCTCTACCTCAATAAACTAGCCTGCGTAGCAAGCGTTGCAACACAGGCTATCAATAAACTATTATTCGGAGCTGGCCTTCGTGCGCATAGAGGTTTTTTTCTACGTCTTTTAAACCACGCAAAGTAAAGATTTCATACTAGTGAGCTGTCTCTTGGTCTTAGTTTAACAGGGTTAGTTGATAATAATAATGACTTAATTAAGGTGTCCAGAAAACTAGCGGAGGAGAATCCCCCTGCTAATAGGGAATACCTAAGATATCTAACAAATTAGCTAAAATACAAATAAGTCGACATAAAATCGATTAAACAAAGCTAAAATGTAAAAAATAAAAGCCATATACTGCTATGACTCTAATGGCAAATGACCTACGTTGTAGAGTGGTTTCAGAAGTAAATACTCACTGATGCAAGGAGCAATGGGACTTTTTGTGTTCTCGTATCCCACAGCACAGTTGTCACACTGTCTCCGTGTCACGCCTTCCTTGCAAGGACACTGTCCCGTGTTCTGGTCGCAAACCTTTCCCATAGATCCGTGCGGGTGGCAGTTACATGCTGCAAGAAATAATGAGAACCGTAAATATTGGCAGTTGTGTTTCTAGCTCGATCGGATCCTCGGGAGGACCCCCATGTGAAAAGGCCGTTCGTCGGGAGTTTTGAGTTAAACCCCTATGGGAGACCAATCTGGATGTGGGCAATTACCAGCCGCTTCCCAGGAAAGAAGCCCGCGCCAGAAAACCGGACTCGAGAGCCCAAAAACGGAAACAAGAGGGTTTTTATTATTATTTCTTCGAGTGCACCCTAAAAGATACTTTGACAGCTAAAAATAGAGCCATTTTGTCATCAACACGCTTGGTGAGACCAGAATCCTTGATTTATACCCCTAAACGAGGCGACGAGCATCCGCGACCTTTTCATGTGGGTCGTCCCCGACCGATCGACCACCTACCCGAAATTTACAGAAGTACCCTCCCCCCTCCGCGAGCGAACGCCGGCAGCAATAAATTGATTTTCCTGAGCTGTAGATAACAAATCCACTCTCAAGGCTATGCTTCTTTAAGATACTAAAGCCAATATTGGTAGACTCTGAAGTTTCAACATGGTTTTCATCCACAGATTTAAAAATCAGAACATTTCACATGGCATTATAAGCAAAGGTTGGTCCATGTAGGCAACTGATAGTCTTCAATGGAGATGTCCCATTAACTGTGTAAACTTAAAACCGCAGAATAATGTAATTATACGTAATATGAATAGCTCCAAATATTTAACAAGTTTTACTTTATTTTTGCGTGCGCCAGTGCAAGTTCTCGCTATCCATTTTCACTGTGTCATTTCTGTAACATTACACTTTCACCAGTAAGAGGAGGTTCTTACTAATGGAGACTTTCCATGACCTAAAATTAACTTATGAAGTGATGACATCTAGATGACTTTGATTCTCTTGTTAATGAGGTGTACATGTCGCCATCACAGGGGTGTGGCAAGGAGACGTTTGATGAGATTTTAGTGACAATA